ATTCTAAAGAAAGGTCTGGGAAGAAAGAGAAAGAAAGGGGGCTCTCACAAAAATAGAAGGAAGACAAAGAGTAGAAGATGAGGAGTGAGAGGAAGGGAAGAGAGAAGGGCAAGGGGGAGTACTGGGGAATGAAATCTATCAAGTATGCTAGGTCCATGTATATGTACAAATACACCAAAGTGAACCACACACACACACACACACACATACACACATACACATACATACACACACATATATATAAAAATATGTATATACACACATATAAAATAGACTAGTTAAAATAATAATAACAATAAAGGGAGATCACTGGCGTAAGGCAAGCAGATCTAGGGAAGAAAAATGGCAAGGGAATGTACTGAGAAATGAGATTGATCAAACCATATTATGTACCTGTATCTATATGGCACAATGAATTCCACTCTTATGTATAATTACAATATACCAATTTTAAAAAGAGTCTTAAAATAAAAAGTTTTGGGGAGGTAGTAGCCTTATTAGGTTTAAATCTCCTACTGCCCCTTCTGGAACCAAATCTAATCATTTTAGGCACATAGGGTCACTGCTTATTTTCTTTACTAAGTTATACTGTCCAAATTGGAATAGTAAGTAGAAACTAGGACTGTATTGTTGAACACCTTAACCATATTGAAAAGCATATAATAGAACAATTTAAAAATAGAGGGGGAGAGAGAGAGAAAAAGGAAGGGAGGCTGGGGTGTGGGAAAGAGAACAGGTTAGTTTAAAAAGAGAAAAGAAAACCAAGGCCACTTGGTTATCTGAACAAGAGGGTGCTGTGTTTGCTGTGGCTTAGTGACAGGTAGAATTTACATGGACTGCATCTAAGCTTCACACAGCATTTAATGCCAACTAGTAGCCTCTCCATCACTACCCAGCCATCAGTCCCTTTGTTGTGCAAGGATATGTCCTCCCAATAGAATCCCCCCCCCCAAAAAAATGCTGGATTCACAGTAATTGCCCAAAACTCTGCATCAAATATTTTTTTCTGATGTGAAATATACCATATGCAAATTTTAATATTCAAATATTTAAGATAGTTTATTTGAAATATAAACAGTTTTCCTTCTATTCAATTTTTTTTCAAATAATGGAAATATCACAAATTGTCATCTGCTGTGTTTCCAAACAAGTGACTATAATTTGAAAGGAGCAGATAAATTGCCTTTTATGGTAAGAACCAAAATAAAGCTTTCACACAGTACTGCAACTTGGGGTAGCAAGTGGTGTGTTATTACTAGAGGAGGAAGAATTTGCACATGTTATATTTGACTTTCTACTTTAATTGCTTTATTTAAGAATCTAATACCCCACATTGAGAAAGTACTAAATATTTATTATGATGTTGATATGGAGAAAGAAAGTCATTACAAATAGTACATGTAACATGTTTATGAGGAAAAAATTTTCTGACAAAAATATAATTTTTAATTATATTTAGAGCCAAAAATATTCCTCCCCAAATAAATTTATATAATACCATATTTTCATTTACATTTATTATATTTAGGACTTATTACTTGTATGTACTCAATTGTAAAACCAAACTACCATGCTTACAATTACATACAAATTTATATTACAGGAATATTCTAATATAATAATTATTTCAAAGAGTATAGTCTTCTGGTAAAAGTTTCATCTTATTAATAAACAAACTAGATCTTAAATTTAAATAAAATTTATTTGTACACTACATATTTTGACATATGTTGTAGCAATCATACTTAAAGTCAATACCTGTTGAATTATCATGTATGGTAACTTGTAGAAAGAAATTATAATTTAAAAGAAAATCACTGATCTTATTCTATGTGTAAAACACTTGGTTCATTCACTAGTATTTGGTTTATACATATTGTTTATCATAATGTCACATGTGCAGATTTAATAGATTTTCATTCAGCAGATTAGTCACTAAAGAATAAACCTGCCATTCACATTTATATAAAATACTTAAAAATAAGAAACTGGGAAAGAAATTACTTGTATAAACCCAACAAAATACTTTGTGAAAATTACCTTACCATTCCAATAAAATTGCCAGTGAAAAAGTATCATAATTCAGCAAACTTATCTGAGCTTGATTTTAAAACTCTGTAAATGTTCATACGTGTGTATACATATGCTATATTACATATATATCTATAGGTATGTATATTATATTTATAAATAGTTTATATAGACAACATAAATCTGTTATAGTTATCAAATGTATGAACAAAATTTGTGTTTCTCATACCTTAATAGAATGGTTTTGAAATCCTTAGTAATTACTATATAGATGACACATATACATGTATACAATTATATATCATGTACTCCTATAAATGCACATTTGTATCTATCCAATACTAGCTCCTATATTTTCAAAATCATTTAAGTCAACTTTAAAAAATCCATGGTCTATTCCCATAGGTCAGCTGTTAAATTCTACTTACTAATCACCTTTCTGTTATTTTTTGATAGTAACTATCATCAACTGTTAAGATGTACTTTCAAATGAGGGAAAAAATACATGTTAAATGTCTATACTGCTTGTAAGTACTGTCCCAATTTTGGAAAGAGCAATATGTAAAAAAAATAAGTGAATAATACATTGAAACAGTATAGGCATGAGTAAGGTGTTTCCAAATAACACATATTCAACAAGAAGAAATCCTCTAAATAAAATGTGAGATTTTTTTAGTAGACGTTCATAGCAAACTATTTAATTGATATGGTTCAAATTAAGACTTTTGCTCTGGATATCAGAAGCCTCTAGATATTAAATCAAGCAAGAAATTATGTGTATACAAATAGAAGAAAGTATCTTGGCATATTATTTTTCAGAAATTGTGACCATAGAAATTATAAATCATTCACAGTAGAGTTAATTCCAAGAAAGTCAGGAAAGATTTAGCATGTGTTATGTATAATTTTCTATGACAAATAAGAACAAGTATATAAAACCCTACAAATATATGACCCAAAACATATTGCAGAGCATTGATTTCCCAGAGGCCAATGTAAAACTCACGTGCCCAGCTATGTTTATTCTCTCCTATAATTGAAATCCATTCATGCTGCACAATTGCTTTTACATGATAAAATATCTTAGTTATTACATCTGGAACAATAGAGATTCTTATTTATTTTAAATGGAAGTATTCTATTTTACTATTAAGTATTACCTTTATGATTTCTCAATTGTCTTGACCATCTTTAAATTGCTATAATGTATTTTATTCACATATCAGACAAGTTCATGCTTCAAATTTTAAAATTCTACATAAATAGAAAGAATTACTCAAAAATTTAATTTGATGAACTGCATTACACTTTTGTTTCCAAAGACTTTTGATACATTGATATACATTTATTAAATAGATAATCTCAATATAAAGGAATATTTATACTGAAGATAAAGTAAGGAATAGAACCTAGACATTCTATTTTCCTTAGTTTTGTGCTCTAATCTCAATTGAGATCAGAAGGGAAGTTAGATGTTCTCAAACAGAAATGCATTTTATTCATTCACTCAACAAGTTTTCATTAAAGGAAATCCAATAACATGAATTAGTAATTAGGATATTGTATAGTTCATTTTCTGTTGCCAGTAATACAGTACCACAGAGTGGATGAATCATGAAGAAAAGAAGTCTAGTTTGGCTCAGGGTTCTGAAGGTGTAAGGTTGAGGGCTCTCACCTGGTGATGGCCATCTTGCTGCCAGAATCCCATGGAAGCACAAGGCATCACACGGCAAGAGACAGGGAACATGTATATGTACATATGTGTCTTCTCGACCCCTCATTTTATGAAGTCACTGGGATTCAATCCTGCAGGCTCCACCCTGATGAGTTTGTCTGAACCTAATCAACTTCTCGAAGCCCCACCTCTAAATACCATAATCAGATTAAGTTTCCACCCATTTAATACATTTCAACATGTGAGGTCTTGGAGGACGTGCAAACAATATCTAAACTAAGGTGGATATTAAATCAAGATCAGGTTGAAGGTTCCTCAAAGTTACCTACTTTTTAGGAGAGAAGCTTTTATATTATTGGAGAAAAAATGGGAATGATCTATAGACTTTGACAACTAATTACATCTAAGACTACCTGTTGTCTGTAATGTGTCTCCCTTCTGCTCACAATAGTCATATGTGACTTTTTTTCTTCACATCCTTATATCTTGCTTTCTTTTATTAGCAATAGAGTCAGTTCCTCACCTGTTCTACTGGTTCTTTCAAACCAGCATCATCTTTTGATGATTTTTAGACCTTTAGAGAGGAGTTTTCAATTTTCCTTGGGAGTTCTTACAGTTCCAAATTTGAATACATTAACTAAAGTATAGCATTAATGTTTCAAGGAATCTTTGTGATGAAAGTTATGGATAAGAATAGCCAGAATGACTTAACTAGAAAATTCTCCTCTGCATTGGTTCTCAAAGTGTAGTATGTGGATTAACAGCACCCATTTCATATAGGAACTTGTATGAAAATGCCCTATCCCAAACCTTTTGGGGACAATGGAATAGGTAATTGAAGAAGAGGGAGGTGATGTTTATGCATGCTAAAGTTTGAGAGTCACTGTTTTTATTTTGTTTTGTTTTGTTTGTTTGCATCCTAATATCAGAGGTAACCAAATAATAGCTTTCTTAGTTCTAAAACCACAGATTTACCCCAATTAGGGGAAGCAATTTTTTTGACTTCTCTGATGCAGGAGCTTTTTAATTCATTTTTATATCCATGCATACTGCTATTTATTTATCTGAATGTTCTTCAGTAGGACATTCAGATAACATTGAACAGCTTTACCCAGACATTAAAGCTGTTTCTGTGAGCTCAAAATATGAGAGGAAGGAGCAGGATAGTGCAGGGACACTAGAGCCACAGGTGTAACTGTAGAGGTTAGTCAAGTCAGCACTTGAGTCTCCATATCTTGCCCCTCACATTGTCTGTCTCTTTATAACTGACTTTTCTCATGTCATTTTTCCCCAGATACCTTTATCTATGAATGTGTCAACCTTTCTGGCATACGACCAGCCCACAATAAGTTATTGTGGGGTGCATCATGAGCTTCTCTCTCACAAATCCTTTGAAACGAATGCACAGGAAGATACGATGGAAACACACCTAGAGACTGAGCTGGACCTGAGCACAATCACAACAGCTGGCCGAATCAGTGACCATAAACAGCCACTGGCTTAACTGAGCTGACTGGTGGCCAAGGGTTGCTACCAAACTTTGTAACCTCAAGGACAAAATGAGGAAGATCTGTTCATTGTGACTCTGAAAAACAAAACAAAAATCCCCTGTTCAAATAAAACAAAAATCAAGATTGATTCATGAAATAAAGAAGACATGAATTGTTTCAAGTCTACACTTTGTAATTAGCTAAGTTGTGCAGTATTTTTTTGACTTAAAGAGTATGACCCTGAAAAAAAAAAAAAAGAATCGATTTTTCAAAACTCATCCTACCTACGTGTAAAAACTGTACAGAGCTAATGTATTTTTCATATTGTAAAGTTTCAATTATAGAAACAACTGGTATGTACAGTACCATAATTTAATTACATTTTACTTTACAAACTTTACACATTTCAGTTTCTAAAATTTTAAATTAACAAAAATTATTTCTTGTGTTATTCAAAGTTACTCAGTTTTGTAGGGACTGTTTTGTTACTGCTTTTGTGCCCAGAAACCTTGACTCTAAAATTCTGTGCTGTGCAAAATATGCACGATTTTTATCATGCTTACTGCGTAGAATTTTATCTACTTGTTCCAGAAATAATACATTAACCAAAAAGGATTTAATTGTTCAGACTTGTAAGAGGTTCTTCAATTACATAGACAGGTTTTTCTTATAAATGAAAAAAAAAAAATCAAAAGATTTTTTTAACAGTTCTTCTCAGATTTAACTGTTGCCTTGAATTACAGCCTAGTTTCTAAGCAGTGAAATGTAATGATAAAGAGGGATATTTTAACAACATATTTCCGAATGAATGACTCATTATTTCATTTTTTTGAGTAACCATTGTTAAGGGTTGGGGGGAGAAGTATGGACAAGACATCACTGGAAACAAAGGCCGTAACCACAGCAACAGACTTTGATACACTTAAAAGGTGCAGCTGCCAGTGACAAAGAAAAACTTTTGTTACATCTCATTATTTTCAGGCCAAGGTGGGAGGAATAGAGCATAATAACTGTACAGTAGCAATTTTTCTTCTAATTAACCCAAAGCGGTTTACCTAAAAATAACCATCAGTCAGTGCAAAATGTGCCTGGTTCTTAAGACAACTTTTCATTTAGAACTCTGAGACTATTTTGGGAACTTCTCAAAGGAAAAATATGAAATTTTTGTCATTGTGTGCTACATCCACTGCTCCTGAGGGACAATTTTAAACATCTATAATTCATTCAATATAGAAGTGAGCCACGGTGGAGAAATGTATCACTCAATTAGATTATAAACATCCATATTATGTTCCAAATTGTTAACATTGCCCTCCATAATGGAATTCACCTCCAAATTATCTGAAAAATAACTGGGAGTAATTGAATATCAACCCAGGTCCTATATTGATTATGCAACTGTGTTTTAAATACAAATCAAATTAAGAAAACCTGACTTTTCAGAGGCTGGAATGATCAACTTGTTTCTGTTGTTTACCTGACACAGATTATTGTTTGACAACATTGTTACTATGAAAATCACACATTCTTTTTGGTGTTTGAGTATTTTTTAAAAAAATATAAAACTGCAAGTTTCAATTACTGTTGCACTAGAACAAATGCTTTTTTATATTGTCATTTTATATTTATGATGTCAAAATAGATTGAATATATGTCAGTGTAACAGGGGTCAAATACAATCAAAGCAACAAAGAAAATAATTAGAAGCATCAATGTCAAACTTAATTTTTTATCTTTTCCAAAGAAATCATATCTACAGAATCTAGTTTTGTGCAGGTTATCACAACAAATTGAAGAGCAACTTCAAGAAAAATAAACTTAAAAATTGTAGTGCAAATTTTTTTTTGCAAATACACAAAAATCAAAGAAAAAGGGGATGTAAAGGTTTGGAGAAATAAGCTACTATTAATTTAAATGTAACTAAATGTGAAACCCCTGATATTTAGCATATCAGATTTTGTAACATATTTTGCATAAATTATTTGTTAATCAAAATTTTGTCATTCTAAGCCCAAATTAAGCTTTATTTTTTTCCAATATCTAACTTCCTTACAATGTATTATTTTGAGCATTTTTAATCCCCTATGCTGAGATTTGGCTTTGCACAAAATTTATAGAGGCCTACAAATCTCTTATTTATGAGACTGAAATCAAATGCAAAATTTTATTTATTATGTAAATCAAAATGTCATCTGCCAAGTTGTTCATTAGAAGTTGTCCTAGCAAAGATCCAAAAGAAAGAATTAGTTTGTGTAAATAAGCACTTCAAGTCTATTTTCAGACACTTTCAAATTGATAAATGACTTAGAAATTTTAAGGTTCCAAGGAGCCTTACAAATGTATGCTTTTATTTCCTGAAACAAACCACTTTCTTAAACATTTTAATTTCACCTAAAGTAAGCAACTATAAATAAATCAATTTGGGATGACAGCTCTGAGCATCCAAGTTCCTAAGCTACAGTTAAAGGCAAATAACTAAAATTTTAAGACTTCTCATATTTGAAATTAAAAGGGTCTTTAAAAAGAAAAGAAAAAAAAAAGATGTTGGGTTATTTGCTTCATGTTTATTGTGCCATGGAAGAGGGAGGGGGGAATGGTAAAAACCTGCTAGAATAGATGGTGTCTGGAATCTTTATACCTTTACAATTGTTAGTTTGTGTCTAAAATTTTAATTCTAAACTATCTTTTTCACCATTTGATAATTTCCCATTTCCTCCAAGTACCTGCCCTTCCCATTGATGTCTCCATTCCTATCTATTGCTCAATCATTTAAATAACTAAAATCTGTTTACCTGTGTTTGGAGTTGAAAAATGGAGAGTTTGACCCAGTGTGATTACAAAAACAGCAACAGCTGCAGTAAACAATAAAGTTTTGCTGTGTTTTGAGGTTTCCAAACCACACAAACCTTCTCATTTTGTCTTCATATCAACCCTATGAAGACACATTAATCTCAAAGAAATTGAGTCCTCACCCATGAACACTGGGCTAATCACTGATGTACTTTAACCATTCTCAAACTTCACAGGCTATTAGTCTTTCATTAAACTGAAAGCTTTCTCTCTCTGATTAGTGCTGACAACATCCAAGATAGTGGATAGAATAAAAGAAAAAAAAAGTTTGACATGTTGTTTAATAATCTCTACTTTAACTCAGTTCCTTCAGTTTGTATAATACGTGAGCTAAATGAACTCTTTCTGGTCCCTCACGCTAAAATTCTATAGCAAGTCACATATCTCAATATATAAGATCATTTATAAATATGCAGAACAGCGACTCCCAAAATGTGGATGTAGGTAGTCCCCAAGGTGCAGACAAAAATTCAAGAAGCAGAGGGAGAGAAACTAAAAACCGTCTAAATTGAGATTGTGTGGGTAGATGTAAAAAAGATCCATAACACAAGGTTGAACACATGTTGAACACACGTTCAACTAAACACATGTTTGATTCAGAGTTGATAGGGAAGACTATGTTTTTTCTTCTTTTGTTTTGGCAAGATTCTTTTTTGAAACAAAATTTTAAAAAACTGTCAAAATAGAAAACAAATTTCTCTATTTTCTTTCCAATAAAAATTAAATATAACTTATCCAAACTAATGCAAAGATGCTAAAACCTATGTTAACATGCAAATATTTTACTAATCTTTTCATTTTAGTCAAGTCTCTATTCCTACTTCCTCTTTCAAGTTTTAGAAAAACATACTAATTTTTAACATAAATTATATTTTTGGAAGCAAACTATTCCAAATTTAACACTCAAGACAAATGACATAACCCAATTTGAACTCAGATCTGATTACATAAACTGCTTAGAAACAGTAAAATCTTTTTACAAAAATGCTTTCTAAAATAAAACCTCTATTTATAAAAGTAAAAATATATTTGTTTTCAAATGCTCCTGACTGGAAGACAATGTTATCTCTTAAAGTAAAGATTCAAAATAAATAAAGAAACAGAAAGCATGAAAACAGATACCTGGTGTGAACTGTGAGAAAGCTGGTAGAAAGAAAATCAGATATTATGAGTAAATGACAGCAAGTTAAGGGAGAGATAATAGAACTGGCAGAAATTTGGTCTCAGAGAGAAATTGAGAAATCTCCAGTGCAGATATAATAATATAGTTCTTAACAGTTTATCATAGGGGTAGTAGTTTAACAATCTTTTAATGTGTAAAAAAAAAAACCTCAAAATCCTGATGAGTTTGTTTTGTAGTAAAAAATCAGAGGATGAATTGGTCTTGTAGCAAAAACTTCTTCTACTCCATTTACCTCCTCAACTTGCCATAGCTGTCTCTAAAAAGAGAGCAGCCAAGGAACAATACTTTCAAAATTCTGATTTAACTACAATCAGTAATGACAATCAGTAATGGTGCTTCATTTTACTGCAATGGAGAAGAAACTTGAAATTTTAAAAACAAATACCAGAGTACTGATGGGTCATTTTTAAAGGTTTTCCATGGCAAACCATTAGATTTTATTATGAGATAGAAGTAGACTTATATTAAAATTTTGGGTTAATGTCTGAAAATGGGCACAACTGATTATTTACATCTCTATTAAAGACAGAGATCTTAAAGCAGAGAGTACCTTAGCTATCTAGGACATAGGGAACTATAGAGTTTCTTAGACCTCTCAGACATTTATAGGAGATTTGGTTTATGTATTTGTCTTCCTGAAAAGCTGAATTAAAATTTGTTTTGTGTAAATCAAATAATTTTTTCAAATTCACTAAGAGAACTGTTATAAAGTATCATTGCAGAAAATCCTTTTTGTTTTCTAAACTAAAATACCATAAATTTAACTTAGTAAATTGACTACCACATACCTTGTGTGCATAATGCAACACACTCCTACTGTGTGGCCTTAAATGTTCTATGATGTAGACTTTACCTCAGACTATGTAAAATGAAAGGCTGTCTCCCAAGTTTTGATTTTAGCTTGGTCCTGACATGAGAGATTGGTATCAGTCAGTTTTATTTACTGAATTCATCTGGATTAATGGAGAAAATAGTTTCAAGACAACATGGATAAAGCAAACTGGTGTTTCCCCCCTATTTATTTGTTTAAGCTTTTATCATCCATCATATCCTTGAAGTTATTATTAAGAGGTTGAGATTACCTTAAGTGCCATAAAAAATACTAGATTTACTGAATTAGAATCTCTTAGATAATACCCCAAATATGAATTGCTAACACATTACTCAGGCGATACCAATGCATGCTAAGTTTATAATAATATTGCTTAAATAAGGATTTACTTTTCCAGACCAAGTCATTCTAGTGCATTTTGTCCTAACATGAAAGAATTAATCCTTGTTCCTTTACTATACTGATGTGAATAAGGGGTTCCAAGCCTAGCTGAACATTTTTCTTGACTTAGAGGACTACAAAACAAAGGAAAACTATACATACAATGTCCAGTTTATTTTCTGACAAACTGTTGTTTAAAGATTGTGCTCCCCAGTAACTCCGTGAACAAGCGTATTTGAAAACAGTCTTAAAATAGTCAAGTTAATTACTCGCTAGTTTCTTCCTTTCATAGTCATAGAACAGCCTAAGAGCTGGAGGAGACAGGAAAGAATTAAGCTATGATGTCAGGCACTTTGCTTTCCTCATCTCATTTTTAACCCATCTTTGTAAAGTGGTATAATCATCACTTCAAAGAAGAGGAAAATAAGAATCATGGTTGTAAGCAACTTACAAACGTTCATAAAGTAGAATTGAGGATTCAAATCCAGATTTACCAGATGCTAAAGGTATATTATTACCACCCCACAGCACATTTTCAAAAGTGAGAGAAG